GGAGTGGGAGGGGGGACGGCACGGCGGTGGTTGGCGTGGAGACGGGCGGTGTCTGGGCTGTGGCGAGACCCATCAGGCCTGTAATTACAGAGATCTGGGGCGGTGAGGAGCTCAGGAGGTGGGGAGGAGCCGGACCTGCGCACGAGCACTCCGAGGGGGGGGTCAGTGTCGCTCGGTGAGGTGAAACCGCCTGAGCGGCCATGAGGGTCAGGGGGCGGAGGGGTCTGTCGTGTCGAGGAGGACCACTGGAGCCGGCCGGTCCCCCTGCAGGCGCACTCTCAGCTTCACGCTCAGAGTGGCGGGGGTGTGGAGCGGGAATCGGCAGGGAGGCTCAGCCTCACACTGATTGCTGCAGAATGGAGGGATGGCCTGGGGTGTTGAAATCCCGCGCGTGCGGACGTCTCGGGATTGTTTTTTCCGAACTGCTTGAGCCCCTTAAGCCAGGAAACCAACTCTGTGCCAATCCGAGACACCACCCCCCCGGCCACCGGCCTCAGTCTGAGCTTCCTCTCTCTCTGGCTTCATCACTCTCTGTCTCTCTTCCTCTCTCTCTGTTCTGCTTCCCTCTGTTCTGCCTCTCTCTCTCTCTGTTCTGCCTCTCCGTCCCTCTTCCTCTCTTTCTGTTCTGCTTCTCTCTGTTTCTCTCTCTCTCTCCCCCTCTCTGTTCTGCCTCTCTCTCTCCCCCTCTCTGTTCTGCCTCTCTGTTTCTCTTTCTCTCTCTCCCCCTCTCTGTTCTGCCTCTCTCTCTCTCTCCCCCTCTCTCTCCCCCTCTCTCTCTGTTCTCCCTCTCTCTCTCCGGCCCCTCTCTGATGCCCCTCTCTCCCGGCAGGAATGGCGTGAGTGTGGAAGGGGCCACGCACAAGCAGGTGGTGGACCTGATCCGGGCGGGCGAGAGGGAGCTGGTGCTGACGGTGCTGTCGGTGCCGCAGCCCGAGGCCGACAGCCTGGACCCCGGGGACGACTCCTCGGGCCAGTCCTTCTACGACTACACCGAGAAGCAGGCCGTGCCCATCTCCGTGCCCACCTACAAGCACGTGGAGCAGGGCAGCGAGAAGTTCGTGGTGAGCGCGGGGGTCCGGGGGGCGCCGGGGGCAGGCGGCCCGGCCCGGCCCGGCCCGGCCCACGCCGCTCACGCTCTCCCCTGTGTGCAGGTGTACCACGTGTACATGGCGGGCCGGCAGCTGTGCTCCAAGCGGTACCGCGAGTTCGCCATCCTGCACCAGAACCTGAAGAGGGAGTTCGCCAGCTTCACCTTCCCCAAGCTGCCGGGCAAGTGGCCCTTCTCCCTGTCCGAGCAGCAGCTGGACGCCCGGCGCCGCGGGCTGGAGGAGTACCTGGAGAAAGGTGGGTCCTTCCTTAGAGGGAGGGGGGCGGGGCAGGGGGAGAGGTGGGAGGAGGGGCAGGGCAGGGGGCAGG